TAATGAGGCTATAGTCAAATGAAATCTAATTTTTGGATTGATTTTTCGATAAAATTTTATTAGAATCTGTACAACAGAAGTCGCGGTACCTTAATGAATTCGGAGGAAGAAAAAGAAGCACTCGCACGCGAGCAGAAAGGCCCCCTTGGGGGGGCCTAAAAATAAAAATTATCCGAGACAACGCGGCGGCGGTCGCGCGCCAAAAGCCAAGCGCAAAGGAGGAATGCTGATCTTGACTGCGCAGGCGACGTATTTCAATGGAAAAGTAGATATGGGACGGAAGAGGGTCTCTCGAGCAATCCAAAAGTGCAATGCGGCGGGACGGAGCGCCTGGTGGGTAGGCAATCTGCCCGCACGCGTGCGCGATGCGCCTGGATGTTGCCTACCCTACGGGTGGCAGGCGCCCGACCCGAGGCGAAGTGAAGTGAGCCCTCGTCAGCGGCGGACGCACTCGTACAGTAGCCATGGGATGAAGCCCTGTATAGGCAGCAAGACAGAGGCACAGAATCCAATTGGAGCTGCTCTCACTTGAACACTTGAAAAGTAAATTTTCCACCAAACGAGTTTTAATACTACTCATTCTCCCTCTTTCCATATTGGAAGAATGTGTTGCAATACAGTACACGTAACGCTGAAACAATCCTTAGTTTTGCAACTGCAGTCCATAACTTTCGCTTATAATTTTGAAAAATTTCAAAAAACAGCCCTGGTTAGTCAAAGCTAACCGACTATATCTAGCATGTCAGTATGTTCCGAAACTTTGCATAACGTTTTGTTTCCAGTGGTGTGAGGTGGTTGTAACGCCGCCCTTGTCCGTCCTTGTCCAGGTCGTGTAGCTCCCCCTGCGCCGCGTCGTGTCTTGACCTCTCGTCCTCCGCCCGCGCCGCCCGCGCCTCGCCGCGCAGTGTGACTCGGCGCGCGCTATGCCCGGGGCGGACTCCCCGTTAGCGCCCCCCTCGCCGGGGGCCCCACCGCCTCAGGTCGACGTCGACGCCCTGCTGACGGAGGCACGTGACCTCCTGGGCGATGTCGACGCCCCCGCCGCCGGCGCCGCGCTCCCCGTCAGAGACCAGGCGGCCGCGGCGTGCCTGCTCGACCTGCTGTTCAAGGAGCCCCACCGCATCTCCATCAAGCACGACTACCACGTACTCAGGGTGAGCGGATGATGGTGCGCGGGGCGGGGTCGCGCGTCTCTGGGGCAGCTCGCTAACCTCTGCTCTCTTCCAGTGCGTGATCAGTGGGGGCTGGGGGCCGCGGCAGGGCGAGCAGCTCGGCGAGCAGCAGGTGTCGCGGGAGCAGGCGCTGCTGCTGGCGCTGGTGCTGGCCGCGCGCCTGCCCCTAGACGGGCTGCTGCTCACGGCGCAGGCCCTCTTCCACGCGCTGCCAGACGGCCGCATCCTGGCGCTGCTTCGGGGCATGAAGGGGCTGTCCTCGACCCCGGCCTCCTCCAACATGATGGACGTGACCCGGCGGGCGGACGCGGCGCTGGCGCTGCACCACGGGCTGCTGGCCTCGGCCTTGGCGCTCGTACCGCGCCTCGACGGCGACGACCTCGACGACGACCGTCGCGATGACGACGCCCCCGCTCACAGGCCCGGGCAGCCCACCCCCGCTGGGCCCGCCCTCCGCGAGGCCGTCATCGCGCAGGTGCTGGGCGCCACGCTCCGGGTCACCCTCCAGGAGGCCCGCGCGACGTCGCACCGCACCAAGGCCGCCTTCCGGATGCTGCACGTCTACCTCTGCACCGTAAGCACAACCACCCTGCCTCTTATGCTGGTCAGTGGCTGGCCGTGTTCATTGTGGGAACTGACCTCCTCCGTAGGCGACCCGCTGGCGACGCGTCCCACCCGAGCTCGGCGAGATCGAGATGTTGGTGTCGACCAGCTGGGAGGTGCCTCTGCCCGGCGTGCGCGAGCACACCGAGGCCGTGCTGGTGCAGCTGTACGACATGGCGAGGCAGAGCGGCGCCTGGGCGGGCGCGGACAACGGCGCCGAGGCCCTCCAGAGGCTGCGGGCGACGGAGGCCCGCTGGTCCGAGGTCTTGCATCGCACCTCGTGGCGAGTCAAGGACAAGTACTTGCGCCTCAAGGTGCTGGCCCCGCGCCTCCCGCGCGCCGCGCTGCTCCGCGACCTCGACGACGTGCTCCTGGACGGACTGCTGCTCGGCATGGCGGACCCCCACCTGGCCTCGGCCGCCACGTCCGTGTACCGCGTCCTGCTCGCCGGACTCGTCACCCAAGAGGAGTGGGTCCAACACTGCCTGCCTACCATCCAGGAGACCCTCAGCGCGGGTGACAGGTAAGTGCCCCATCGCGAACTTGCCTCCTCGTACAGCAAACACCTCTAAACCCCGAGTTCTCCTAACCAGGAAGCTCGCTACGAACGTGCTCAACTACTGGGTGATCCCGACGGTCACGACCTTCCCGGAGACGTATCGCGTTCTGCTCGACGCCATGAAGGCCCCGCTGGCGGCCGCCATGGCGGACGAGGACACGACGTCCTACGGCCACGCCGCCTACATCCACCTGCTCAAGATCGGGCGCAAGGACGGCTTCTGGGACGTACTAGACGCCGGTGACGAGGTAAGGCATCGCGTCCGCGACCCCCCGAGCACCAGCCAAAAGGACCATGACGCAAACCTCCTATCGGTCCGCAGGTGGCCGAGCACTGGTCCGCGCTGGAGTGGGGCGCCCGCCACAGCGACTCCTGGGTGCGCGGCGCGGCGCTGGCGGCCGTCTGCATGTCCTCGCGGCCGCGGCAGGCCGTCACGGGCAGCGAGGCTCGCTTCGCGCTGCGCTTCCTGGAGGCAAACGCGCGCGCGGACGACACCCGGCTGCGGCACGCGCTGCTCGAGGCGCTGGGCTGGCTGCTGATGCGGCTGCGCAACTCGCTGCGCCCGCTGCTGGCCAAGGGCGACACGGAGGACAACGGGGACCTCGCGACCGCGGCGCGCTTCCTCGCCGACCTGCACCGCTTCGTGCTGGACGGCATGCAGCCTGGCACCAACTACCAGCGGCGCGCCACCTGCCTGGGCGTGTACCGCCTGCTGCTCAGCTATCTGGCGCCCGTCCCCGCGGCGGCCGCCGCCGGCCTCAAGAAGGGCGTCGGCAAGGACCCGCTGCCCGTCAGCGCCGTGCTCGGCCGCCACCTCCGCCTGGGCTCGGCCGAGAGCCGGCGCGTGCTGCTCAACTGCATCATGGACCCCGCGGACGACGTCCGGAACAAGGCGGCCGAGGTCCTCGCCATGCTCCCCGCCGAGGAGGCCGCAGCCGCGGAGCGTGCTGAGGCGGAAGTGAGTCACCAGGCGCTGAGCACTGCGCAGCTGGACGGAGTGTGCTAACCAACCGGGCCGTCCGGACGGTCACATGGGCGAGACTTTATGGCTTAATGGAACGCGCCATTCTTTTCCAGAACCAGAACCTGCCAACCTGGGACCACGTCCTTTTCCTCTGCAACAGCCAGCTGTTCTTCCAGGCGGAGAGTGGTGCCGTGCTGGGGGCAGTGCTTTGTTCTTGGAGAGGTGGGTTTCAAGGTCGGCGTTCGTATCGCACACTTGGAGAGATTGTGATGCACTGAACCGCCCCGTAACGTTCGTCATCGCCTTGCAGAGGACCGAGTGCGGCCGCTCGAGCTGGTGGCTGAGTGCGAGCGGCAGCTGTCCGCCCTCCGCGATGACGTCCTGGCTGCCGCCTCCGGGGGCAGCCCTCTCCATGGTCAGCTGGGGCTGGTGCGTCGCCTTCTCCCCCCGAGGGGCCCCCGTGGACGCCGTTCTCCTGGTCGCTGGGCGGGCACCGAGGACCGCCTCCTGCTCCTACTGGAGGCCAACATGGACCTCTGCCTCAACATGCTCGCCTGTCGTGCCTCCGCTGACACAGGTGAGTCGTACAGACCGAGGTCCTCCGCCCGCGCTCTTTCTCTAACCCTTTGCCTTTGTGCTCGCGACCAGCGTTCAACCCAAGCTTCGCGGAGATGGGGGAGGCGATCGACAGCATGGTGGCGCGGCCCGGCCGGCGCGCCGGCGAGGATGGCGACGACGACGGTCTGCCGCTGACGCTGTCTCCGGCGCACCAGCTCGTCCTGAACTGCATCTGGCTCAACCTCAAGATGTGCTGCGCCCTGGCCAGCGACCTGCTCGAGGTGGACTGGGAGGGCGGTGGACCTCCGGGCTTCGCCGAGCGTTGCGCCCGCCTCCCCGTGTCCGTGCTGCTGCGCTGCCGCCACAAGGGCGCCATCGAGGCGGCTGGCGCGGCCCTGCAGCAGGTCGTCAGGACCCTCACGGACCAGTCCGACGTAGAGCTGCGGTAAGTGCGCGCGCGGCGGCAGTGCGCGGCTGGGAAGACTCTCCTAATTGTGGTGCTGGCGCGCCTGACTCTCGCACTCGTTGTTGTAGGCAACTGCCCCACCGCCTGCTCACGGAGTTCCTGCACCTTCTCCTGGAGGGTAGCACCGCCAAGGGCACCTCGGTGTCGCGGAGGTCGGCGGGGATGGCCATCTTGGTGCACCGCATCGTCTTGGGGGACCAACAGCCGGACAAGGTGTGTTTGTGTGGTCACCCCGTTTCAAGCTTTAAGCTTTCGAAATTTGCCTGGGGTACTGTGCTTAACTTTTAATTTATTCTGCCTTCCAGCCCCTGTTGCATGAATGTATCTCGAGCTTGTTCAACTTGCTAGAGTGCAGTGCATGTCAGAGATCCGTCGAGGATGCACAACACGATCTCCCTCAGACCCAAGCACTTCATTTTCTGCGCACCCTCGTCGCAGATGCCGCACTGCGTGTGGCGATGTCCCCTTATCTAGGTCAGGCTGCTCTCTTCTGTTTTAGACATTTGAACTCCCCGCTTTGGAGTACCAGGTACATAATTTCTTTATCATTATTTTAGCCCCTCTTTGAAGTTTTCTGCTGGCTCACTACTGCTTGGTCTCGTGGCTAATTTCTTTTTGTCATTTGTGCACTTTGTAGAAATGCAAGTCTGCAATTATTTGGAGCCTTAGTGCCTAAAATTGTTGGCCAGGGCAAGAATGCAAGTGACAGTGAAGAAGAGGATGATAGCATAGTTGGGTGCATTAGTTTGGGGGATTTGATTGTGAGATTTGCTCCTCTTTGCGAATTATTGCTGGAAATACTTGAGTCTTCTGCTGGAAGAACAGATTTACTTCAAAGTCACGCAGAGCTAATTCCAGCACTCTCCCTGCTTGCACGTCTTTCTGTATCAGAAAATACATCATGGTCATCTCAACACATAAAAATGTTTAAGTCTGCATTTTTACATCTTCTCTCTAGCCCTATTGCAACTGTCCGTTCTCTTGCTGCCAAGGGATTTTCCAGGTGAGTTAAATTCCTTATTATATTTACTCTTGTGAATTACTCTTGTAGGCCCTATTTACTCTTTACACTTGTGAAAAAACATTTTTCTTTTTTTTTAGGTTTACCCCTCTTATGGAATCTGCCAACACTTTTGAAAAACTTTTGACTGTTTACTTTCAACAAACTTCAGAAAATGGTCGATTTGGAGTTCTCACGGCTATGAAATTAATTAAAGATCATCTTTCTATAGAAGGACACCTCACGCATGCATCAGGCTCAGAGGAACATAAGATTTCCAATTTGATCAGTAATCAGTTACTGTCCCAAAATCCGTAAGGAAACACTTGTTTGCTGTGCTGTGTCAGAATAATTTTGTATCATGAATCAATAATTGTGTTTCTGGTTGCAGGTCATCATTTGCCAGTGAATCTATGCTTTTATCCATTTTTGCACCTGATTATGAACTAAAAATTAGCTCCCAAAATATATTTACTAGAATATCTTCCCTTGTAGGAGAAAGGCATGTTGGAATTAGTCAATGGATATTAACAAATCTAAGCATAATTTTGTGTAAGAGTAGTGTTACACTTTTACCCGAAATCTTAGAAAAATCTTTGAATATGTTAAGCTGTACTGATGCAGGAAGGTAGGAAAAGTGTGACCTCTCACCATGAATTAATAACTTCTTTAATACTCTACTCATCACGCAAACTTCATTTTCATTCCAGGATTACTATTTCTCATATTACTAAACGAATAGACAGTAGGACAGCACACTGTGTTTTGCAAGAAATATTGGATGTATCTCTCAAGCATTTGTGTCAAAAAGCATCTCTATCTAATTATGAAACATTCCATTTGCTTAATTTAGTTTTAAAAGCAATTACTCTAGCTGATGATAAAAAGATTTCTTTGCTATGTGATATAGACTCACTTGTTCTATTATCAAGTAGTGCTCATTCAGGAAAGTTTGGAGCTCGCTGTGAAGCAGTTACTCTTTCTGTAACGTCTGGATTGTTATCATTCCTTTGTTCTCAATTGAGAAGTATCGACCCTTCGTTACCTAGAGATTTAACAAATGATAATCAAGTCCAAGCTGTTTTCACCGACGTTTTGTATTGTGTGCAGAAATTTAGCTGCCCTAAAAAATATGGAGAAGATTTTCGTCTTGCTGCTGCCACAGCATTAAGGTTTATTGGCGTAACGTTAACAAAGCAAACTTTCTTTACCCTTGAAACCTTTTCATTAGATGGTGTCAGAGTCACACAGAATGCTGCATTAATTCTGAGAGCTGCCCTTCAACTCCTGCAAGATGAAGACAGTCATGTCAGAGAAGAAGCCTCTAAATTTGTAATTGTTCTTTCACAAAGTACTCAAAGAGCGCTGAATTCCCTTGAGTGCTTGTCAACATTACTGACTTATGACTTCCTATGCAATATTTTGGGAAGCAAACATGAAGTACTTCTCTTTTTATGGAGTTTACTTACACCCCAGGACAGTGAAGAGAGTGGTTGTAGGGAAAGTGGTATAGAAAATCCTTTTGATCATGGCACAAGGAATATATTTGCAGAAGAAATTTGGATTGTAGAACAGGTTCAAAGAGTAATAAGAATAATTCTTCAAGAAGAGAATATTTCAGAGCTGTTATCATTTTCATCTAACAATGAAGATATACTTCAGAACTGGAGTTGCGAAGTAAAGAAAGAAATAGACAGCATGGACACTCTTGCAGCAAAAGTAACTCAGAAAATAGGTAAGTTTTAAAACAAACATTCAGTTAAAATTTTGTTGTTTTGAAAAGACAATTATCTTATTTCTTTTATTTCAGTGAGAGAAGAATGTGAAGCAAGTACAATATTTTTGCAGCTTAAAAGGGTAAATTATAAAATAAAAATTCTTAAAATG